AAACCATTTAAACTCTGCTCTGGGAGTCAGGAGGTCTTCGTTTAGAAGAATTATGACGCCTCATGATGAAAGCCGAGTTCCTTCGGAAGTCACGAGGCCAATGCCTCTTCTGACAACCATTTATTTAGGTACATGGAATGCTCGCACAATGTGGGAGACTGGGAGAGTTTTCCAAATAGCTGCAGAAATGAGGAGATACAATTTAGAGGTGCTTGGGATCACTGAAACACATTAGACGCAAGTTGGACAACAACGACTAGCCTCAGGGGAGCAGCTGTTATTCTCCGGACATGAAGAAGAAGATGCCCCATATACACAAGGAGTTGCATTGATGCTGTCCAAACAAGCACAATATGCACTTATAGGATGGGAATCTCATGGACCAAGGATCATCAAGGCCTCCTTCAAAACAAAGAAAGAGGGCATTACAATGAACGTCATCCAATGCTATGCGCCTACCAACGAATACAATGAAGATGCTAAAGATCAATTCTACGATAGGCTGCAGTCAATCGTCGAGAAGTGCCCAACAAAGGACCTGACTATTCTGATCGGAGACCTAAATGCCAAGGTTGAAATTGACAACACCGGATATGAAGAGATCATACGACGACACGGACTGGAAGAAAGAAACGAAAATGGTGAGAGATTTGCAAATCTATGTGCCTTCAATAAAGTGGTCATAGGTGGCACTATATTCCCACATAAACGCATCCACAAAACCACATGGACTTCACCGGATCACAGCACACAGAGCCAAATCGACCATATCTGCATCAACAAAAAGTTCAGGAGGACGATGGAGGACGTGAGAACCAAGAGAGAAGCCGATATAGCATCAGATCATCACTTGCTGGTCGTCAAGATGAAGTTGAAACTCAAGGAGCACTGGACAACGGGGCGGACACTATCACAAAAGTTTAATATGGCTCTTCTTCGGGATACTGACAAACTCAACAAATTCAAGATAGCCCTCAGTATTAGGTTCCAGGCCTTTCATGATGTACTCAATGGAGAAGGAACTACTATGGAGAGCAACTGGAAAGAGATAAAAGAGGCAATCACTTCAACATGTCATGAGGTTCTGGGCCAAACGAAGCACCATCACAAGGATTGGATCACGGTTGATACACTGGATAAGATTCAAGAAAGGAGGAACAAGAAAGCAGCAATCAATACCAGTCGAACAAGAGCAGAAAAAGTCAAGGCACAGGCTGAATACACAGAAGTAAACAGGCAAGTGAAGAGGAGCATCAGAACTGACAGACGTAAATATGTGGAAGATTCAGCAATGACGGCGGAAAAGGCTGCAAGAGAAGGAAACATGAAACAACTGTATGACACAACAAAGAAACTCTCCGGAAATCACCGCAAACCAGAACGACCAGTGAAAAGCAAGGAAGGCAAGATAATCACCAACATTGGAGAACAACGAAACAGGTGGGTAGAACACTTCAAAGAACTCTTGAATCGACCAGCCCCACTGAACCCACCCAACATCGAAGCAGCACACACGGACCTCCCAATTGATGTTGGCGCACCGACAATTGAAGAAATCAGCATATCTATCAGAAAAATCAAGAGTGGCAAAGCAGCAGGACTAGACAGCATTCCAGCAGAGGCACTGAAAGCAGACGTGGCGGCAACTGCAAGGATACTCCAAACTCTCTTCAGAAAGATCTGGGATGAGGAACAGGTACCAAAAGACTGGAAAGAAGGACTTCTAGTCAAAATACCAAAGAAAGGCGATCTCAGCAACTGTGACAACTACAGGGGAATCACTCTTCTTTCAATACCAGGAAAAGTCTTCAACAGGGTATTGTTAAACAGGATGAAGGACTCCGTAGACGCCCAACTTCGCGACTAACAGGCAGGATTCCGTAAGCATAGATCGTGCACAGACCAAATCGCAACTCTACGGATCATTGTGGAACAATGAATTGAATGGAATTCATCACTCTATATCAACTTCATCGACTACGAAAAAGCATTTGATAGCGTGGACAGAACAACAATATGGAAGCTTCTTCGACACTACGGCGTGCCTCAGAAGATAGTCAATATCATACGGAATTCCTATGATGGATTAAACTGCAAAATCGTTCATGGAGGACAGTTGACAAAGTCGTTCGAAGTAAAGACCGGTGTCAGGCAAGGTTGCTTACTCCCATCCTTTCTGATTCTCGTGGTGATCGACTGGATCATGAAGACGTCAACATCTGAAGGGAAGCACGGATACAGTGGACATCTAGGATGCAATTGGACGATCTAGACTCTGCAGATGATCTGGCTCTTCTATCGTAAACGCAAGAACAAATTCAGGAAAAGACGACCAGTTTGGCAGCAGCCTCAGTAGCAGTAGATCTCAATATACTCAGAGGGAAAAGCAAGATTCTTCGATACAACATAGCATGCACCAATTCAATCACAATTAACGGAGAAGCTTTGGAAGATGTAAAAGCCTTTACATATCTGGGCAGCATCATTGATGAACACGGTGGATCTGATGCAGATGTGAAGGCACGGATTGGCAAAGCAAGAGCAGCATATTTACAACTGAAGAATATCTGGAACTCAAAACAATTAGCAACCAACACCAAAGTCAGAATTTTCAATACAAATGTTAAGAGAGTTCTACTGTATGGGGTGGAAACCTGAGAAACCACGAAAGCCATCATCCAGAAGATACAGGTGTTTATTAACAGTTGTCTACGCAAAACACTCCGGATCCGTTGGCCGGACACTAATAGCAACAACCTACTGTGGGAGAGAACAAATCAGATCCCAGTGTTGGAAGAAATCAGGAAGAAGTGCTGGAAGTGGATAGGACACACATTGAAGAAAGCACCGAACTGCGTCACAAGACAAGCCCTCACATGGAATCCTCAAGGCCGAAGGAGAAGAGGAAGACCAAAGAACACATTACGTCGAAAAATGGAGATAGATATGAGATAAATGAATAAGAATTGTATGGAACTAGAAAAGAATGCCCAGGACAGAGTGGGTTGGAGAATGCTGGTCGGTGGCATATGCTCCATTAGGAGTAACAGTCGTAAATAAGTAAGTAACAGGGAATAAGATACATGACTGTCCACATTCGTGAGCAGGGCCAACCATCCTAAAAATTAGTTAAAAACGACAACAAGAAAATGGATATGTCAAAATTTTCATACCTTAACCAAATAAATCACGTCACAGTCGGTCAAGTATGCGTTGCTACTATAAATACACAAAAGAAAATTGAATACGCTTGAATATATACCACTTTAGCTGAAATAAATTCAATTAAAGTGTAAAGAGTAGTTTTGATGCTTAAGTTAGGATGAAAACAATAAATTTGTCTCAATGAGGGATAATAACACTGTCGTCTATAGACATCGTGCGTATCGTTGTGTCGAAAAAACAAGAACAACCACGTGTTTTTCCGAATATGCTCATATATGTGTACATATTTTCTCTTATAAAGATCAGAAAAATTCATAGTGCAACATTTTTAAGCTACCTCCTTTTATTTATCAGAAGTATTTGCCAACAGTAGTCTCGTTGCTTTCAAACTGCTGGCTGATCATGTCTTAAAACCATCACTATCGCAGTAGCAAGAGAGTGAGCTGTAGCAGTAAATAAATATCTGAAACGAATAGATCGGCTTGTCTTTCATGTTGACGCTGACTTTATTCGTTCCACTGGATATGGCCTAGCTGATGGCTCACGGTCACAAACCCTCACCAAGTCATCAGTGAGTACGTTGTGTTACGTATCACTTGCAACCAACAACCAGATTCGACCAAACACCTCTCGAAATATGTCTTCTGACCTTTTCGCTTTTGACTTCTGTTTTGACTGGTTTGTTATCCTTTGATTATTAAGGTGTTACAGGTTAAGATATTATCAATTTTCGATTACATGTGGTATATTTAATCCTCTAGGTTCGAAGAATTCATTTAGGAATAGACGTTTGCTACAGGTTCCACTACTTTCTTTATAAGAAAGCTGGACGTCAGCAGAAAGCTAGTGCTACAAAGTTAATTTGTCGTAGTTGTTTACTCTGAATATTTACTATTATTTAGTACTGACGTCACTCGGTATATTGCGTCGAAGTAGCTAGTTCATATCTTAAAAATGATGATAACATGTTGGAGTTTATGTATTGTGTGAGAAATATGATACCGATGGGTCTTTCCAACCTTTCAAATGATGGGAGGTTACTATAAACATTTCTCCCTTGTCTGACCTCAGAGTATTTAGATGATGAAATGTTTAGATTACTATACCTGATTTATGTGCGACCACATGTAGAATATGGGATTCGAGCAGCGAGTCCTTGTTTCAAGTATGAAGCGGATGTACTGGAAAGAGTTCAACGACCAGGTACTAAGATGGTAGAAGGTCTATCTGGCCTATCTTATAAAGACAGACTGAGACACTTCAACTTATTTCCGTTATCTTACCGTAGAATGCGGGGTGATCTAATATTGGCTTATCGTATACTGAACGATGACCTTGGTATTAACATGTCTTATCTTTTACTTCCGTCTAGGACTGATCATTTGAGAGGACATTCGAAAAAAGTTCAAAAACCGAGATCAAATCATTTACGTCTGGAGTTTCGTTTCTCGCACCGAGTAGTGAATAACTAAAATTCTCTACCGGAACACGTAATATCAGCACCTTCTGTTGATATATATTTAAAACGAGATTGGACCTCCACAGTATTACTAACTGCAAGGATTAATATAGGTCGATAGACCTTCTATCTTTATTATTGAAGACTGAAGAGTGCAAGATGACCTTGTATTGGTATGGAAGATTATACTTTTTGGATAATGATTCTACCTTTCCGTATATAGCGACAGTTTTATGTAACACATAGGCGAATTTTGAGGACAGTGTAGCACGTTATTTCCACCGAATGTAGTTTGAATGTTTGCATGTGAGAAAATTATTAAACATTGAACGCTGTATGTAGCCTAGTCTAAGGCGCTTGTTTGACGAGTCTCCATATGAGCTTTCATAGGGTCCTGTTGGTTTTATTGGTGTTTGGGCTTATTAGTTCATGTACAGCTCAGAGGTAATGATATATGTATAATAATATTTGAAAGCCTGATTCAAAGGGATAACTACACCTATTTCAATGTGTCTGGTTGCTTAGCATTCTTTGCTCGTTCGATTTCTGTAAAATTCGTTAGCGGTAAAACAGCCAGTATCGTTCCTATACCAGCAAGTTCATTGTCACTTTCTCCACTCAGTAAATGCTCTGACTTAAAATCGTTGCTCGTTTTCACATCATCAAACGTTAATGAAATCTCCGACCTTAATGTCAGGTAAACAAATAAATACATATTTGATAATATTTGACAGCTTGGGTTTTAGCAAATCTGGCCGTTATTGGAGTGTGTCTGAATCATCTGTTAGTATCAAGTGTCAATCAGGTTCCAAATCATGCGTCAATGTAGCTGGAAATCCCTTGATTATCAAATGGGCTGGAGCCCCTATCAATCTTGGTTACAAGTGTACTAAGCCTTCAGTCGCGCCAGTAATCTTACCGTCAGAATCTGGGAATTCAGTTTCTCTTCAGTTTACTAGCATCCAGGCAAGTAGTATCTTTGTTGTTTTTCTCCTTAATGGTATTCTTATCAAATTTAACAAATGCGATGTCTTCTCGACTAACGGAAAACCCACTACCGAGTTGATAACAACTGTATTGATCGATTATATTCTACTGACAATGACATTTACAACTTTTCACTATTTTAGTGTATAGGAATCTAAGGAACCGGGTCCAGGTTCAAACCTTCGATTATTATTCACAACTTTCCTTAGAGTTAGGAGGTTGATTCTTATTTTCTTGACCTGTTTATACTATTGAGGGCAGTTGAAATCGATAATCAAGTTTCTTGGCCTTGCCTGCGTATTAAAACACAATGAATCTGCACGAAACTGTCATCATGTGTTAGAAATGTGTTTATTTCATTATACTTCAAGTCGGGACCTAATTATCCGATATAATCAGAAAAATATGACCCAATGTTTCTATTTACTCATGTGGTGTAACTCGGGTTTATAGTTTGCAACATGCGTTTAGTAAGTTTCAGATGGAGTATTTTATTGAATGTTTTCTCGTGTTATAAGTACCGAACTAAACCTTACCAACTCATTTACCAGGTATTTAGCTACGTTGTATGATGGTGGTTGGAGGTAATCGACAGGAAACCCTCCACCACCTTACATCAACTAGGTACACGTAATGTCGAGTCACCTAGGTTAGTGGTTATATTGCAACTTGATCAATATGATTCAATTTTCACTAAGAAGGATGTGACACACATGACATTAGTTAATACCTATTACTATAAAGTCTAATTCTGTTTAATGTTTCCAATCGATCCATAATTAAAATTCTGAAATACTACATGTCTGTCTCTTATCTGTCAGTCCACAACAGCAATCCATATAAGCTCATCCGGAGATCCTGTGACATTTCTAATTTGCCTTGATGTCTCGCTAAGCAATAACAATAAACTGTAGTTACCTGTCGTTAGATTAATTAATTCCGCAGTGTCCAGATAGCTTGTACTTAAGTGCTTGATATTATTTCCGACATGGGTAATCACTATAGTCATCTATATTTTCTGTTTTAGGTCCAACCATTCGGCGTAAAAGATGGTGTGTTTGGTGATGTTACAGATTGTGTCGGGTACTTCAGTATTGGTGTCTGGTCATCACTGATTGTTTCTATTCTTTTGGTTTCTGTTTTAACATATGGTTTAGTTATGTTGGCATCTGTACAGCCTAGTGAAATATATGAAGATCCTAAAAAGAAAATGATTCAGCTTGGTGCTGATAACTAAAAAAACACAAGTTTTTTTCAAATGGTTTGGTTAAACAGCTATTCGTGATAAATATTTATCTAATATAGATTTTGGTTCTGTGTTTTCAAGCATAATCCCTTTTGTATTTACATTGAAGACTAGCTATTCTTCTTGATTTTCTTTTTGTCTCAATAATGTTGCTGTATTGTGTACAACAGTCATATATTTATTAAAGCTCCATTTGTCTTCTATTTATTTCTCACTGTTGATTGATCAGAAATATAAAAGAATCGAATCAATTTATAATTTTTTATCTAAACGCCTTAGAATTATCGTTATCAGATAGCTTTTCCGACCTCGATAGTATTAGCATAGTTTAGTGATACATCATATGCGGTGATTTGATGGTTAAAATGCTTGACTAATAAGCATTAGGCTTAAGGTTTGATTAGACTCAAACGAGAGTTAATGTTTACAAAGTCAGCTGAAAATAAGTTGACGAATGACCGTGATTTCCATTTGTACTTTTAAAACACTGTAATCTTCATTAGTTTATTAAATGGACAAGTGTGCTAGTGTTGTCTACGTACCCTTTACTTTATTAAGTTTTCGAAGGGCAAGGTTACCTAGTTAGTAATTAAGTTATTTGTAAAGTTAGTTTACGGATGTGCGATTAGCGACAGCTGAAGTACTGAGCTCCAAAGGTGTCTATTACCCCAAGGAAGGTTGTTTGGAGGATTCCCTAACAAATTCTAATTTCGTTTTACTGACCTCGGTTTCAAAGTCAAATGTGATCAGTAATTAGTGAGACATGGTTTACAACTCTGTATTTGCATCATTCATTTTAAAAGTCAAGATACATTGGTAGTTGGAATTATTGTGACTAATCAACCCATAGGAGGGCGTTGACGGGGGTGAAAGTCAGCGTACTAGTTATTAAAACCACAAGGTAAAATAATACTTGGTTTACGAGAACTGATTACCCCAAAGAACTAGGCAAGCATAATACTAGATTTATACTCGTCCTTGTAGGGCTTTAGTTGCAGTCACATTAGTAACCGATAATGCGACACTGGGTGACAGGATTGAAGCACATATTTGTAAATAACCCTCATTAATCACCCCGATAAGAATAATGAATGGTAATTTTTGGGATCCATTTGTGGACCAATGCTATTTATTTATTTGAACACATAAATATTGGTACAAGGGGCACGAAATATATATGCGCCATACAAAAAAAGGAATTTAAAGAGAAGGGAAGAAAAAAACAATAACGACCAGATTGGTGTAAAGTAGTGTGATGGTAGTAATAATGGGGGAAACGAAAATGTACAATCAGGAGAAGTCTTTCAGTTAAGGAAGAAGCAACCACTCTTTACGAAGAAATTAAAAGAAGGTTACAGCAGGATCGCCACTGGCTTCTATTCTGAATGCCCTGGTATGGCCGAGAGTGGGGTGGGTTCGCCCTCCCTCTCGAAATACTGTCATACGGCCATGCGTATGCAGCCTCTACCACAAAAGTCCTACTCACTGCCTTCTCTTGGCGAACGTGTTGTTTACGAAAACGAGAGGACGAAAAGCGAATGTCCGGCACCGGCTTTAACCGGATCCCAAATCAATGGTGTACATGGGCTAGCTCCAGTATCCTGAAGGAAAACATGGCGTATGAACCAATCGTTGGTCACCGACTATCATGGGACTGCATCTCCTTACGATGCTCCACTGCTTTGTGGGTCAGATCTTCATGTCGAAGGCTCGAGGTGTGGTCCCCTAAGAAAACCATCTGCTTCGGTCTGGGCACCCGGGCAATATAACAGCCCCCACACAAAAAGATGATGAACAGTATACTAATGGACCAATACTATACGTATAATTTTATCGTATAATTGTCAATTAAATAAATTATTCGCATTCATGTCTCTGTTATCATAAGCTTTATTTTAACCTATGAAGTGTTATTATGCGATTTTCCAGTCTTGAATTATGCCCTGTTTATTAATCACTATCTCCCACGTTCACAGCCACATTTGGCTAAATCTTGTACAAATGTTGTTTCATATTTTATGGTACGATATGGTATATAAACCCAATATGTTTGAAATACATGATTTATATTGCAGAGGCTCGGATTGATGTTCTGGATTTAACTGGCTGGGCTAAACAGGAAGCAAGAGCAATCAGTACTCTTGGCTGCTCGTACAAGTTTTACACGTCATTGATTCGATCGATCATTCACTGCTCCCTAATTGACGGTATCATCACGTTATGCATTAACAGGGCACACAGGCCACAAGATATAACATTAGTCAAGTAGTATTTCCTTTCAGTTGGCACCATCTACCTAACATTTTCATCCACTAAAGCAAATTGAAATTCTTTAATATTTTATTAGCTAAACTGAAACATTCCTAGAATTCAATTGTTGTTTACACATGTATGTACACATGAATATAAACATCAAGATGATTAGTGATATGTGTCTTCCTAACTCGAGAAACAACTTTCAAAATGTTGTCATATTCATTTTTTATATTTTGATTAAAGAATGACAACTACATGAATTCTTCCCCACCCCCCGCTCTTTAAATTTTTGTTTTGTTTTCTTCTTCTGGTTATTGATCAAGTTTCTCTTTTTGTAGGCTAAACTTGTAGGATTTTCAATTTGGATTGGTTGATTCACTCCACAATCACTGTTTCTTTTTTTTGTTGCTGTAGGGATAGACAAACATATTCCCATTATTATTTCATTGGTTCATTAATTCTATCAAATAGACGTTAGACATAGATATAAACCTGTCCATTTTAGATCTGTCTAGTCAAATTGATATATATATATATATATATATATATATGTTTTTAACATACTTCCTATTTGAATCAAATTCTCATAGATAACCTTATGGTTATTTTGTATGAAACAAATCATAACGATGTCATGGTTATATATGTATATATGATGATCCAGTCTAATAAAAACCTTTTTAATGATTGATCCTATTCATAGAATCCTAATAAAACGATCAATTCATTCAATGTAATTATAAACTTATGATACTTTATCCTAATTTATCATATACAGTTCATATCATCTACTGTTGTGAGGCCAAAGTAATTTTGCATCGGTTTTCACGTGAATAAAAAAAAAAAACATTGTTCACAGACTTTCATGTGATCACACAAAACACAGTATCGTCTAAACCGGTTTAACATTACAATCTAATAATAGTACAGCTCAATTTTAATTGTATACCTCAAATTATTATTCAATGATAATTTATTTAAATTTATTATTATTAAAAATTATTTCATTTATATACTACTTAATTCAATCATTATTATCATCATCATCGACGTCAACAACAACAACAACAACAGTAACATCCTCCTCCTCGTCCTCGTCCTCGTCCTCGTCCTCGTACTCCTACTCATCCTCTTCATCTTCATTATCATTTACTTATTCATTATATTTATTATTTTATTTATTTAATAAATTTCTATATCAATATTCCTATGTAGATGCTGTACAAGGATGTAGTATATTTTATCAATTAGATTTTAAATGGAAAAAAGCATTATGTGATTCAGAATTAAATAAATTAAAAGAAATTCCATTAAATTTACCAATTAATTTAATTGAATTACGTATTATACATCAATCAATTCAAAAATTAAATAAACATTCATTCAATTCATTAATACATTTAGAATTATTACATATTGAATCCAGTGAATTAAAACATATTGAATCAGATACATTTAAACAATTAATATCATTAAAATATATTAATTTACGTAATAATTCATTAAAATTTATTACAACAAGTAGTCGTCATGGCAACAAGAACAACAACCATAATAATAATAATAATAGTATTAATAATAATATTGATGAGAATAATAAACAAGAAGGTTTTCCTATTGATTTATTACATTATTTACCTAATTTAATATCATTAAATTTAGCTGAAAATCCTATTGATTTTATACCAGATTCATTTTTTAATAATTTATATCAATATAATTATCAATTAAAATATTTATGGTTAAATTCAGTAAAATCAAATGGTATAAAATTTGAATCGAATATTATTATTAAACCATTAATACAATTACGTTTATTAGATTTAAGTTATACAGGTTTACATTATTTACATGAATCTAATGAATTATCATTAAATAATATGATTTATTTAAATGAATTCTATCTTGGTGGTAATCCATGGTTATGTGATTGTAAAATAAATTGGTTAAAATTATGGTTTTTAAAAAGAACCACCTCCTTAACTATGATATCCTCCTCGATGACATCGTCATCGTCACCATCCTCATCATCATCATCCTCATCACCACTACCACCATCATTGAATCCGATACAATATAAACAAAATAAAACAAATTCTAATGGTATTGTAGAATTAATTGAACCATTATGTTATAAACCAGATTTATTAAAAGGTAAATTAATTTTATCAAATAATCAATATAATTCATTACAATTTAATGATTTATATTGTAATCCACAAATTTTTACATTAAATCAAAATAAAACTATTTATTATAATCATACAATGTTATTAACATGTCATTATTATGCTATACATATATATCATTTATTATGGTATAAAAATAATAAATTATTATTCATACATAATACAACACATTATAATATTAATTATGGGAAATTAGGCGCTAATTTTTATTCAAATTTATTAATTCATTCAACAAATGAACATGATACTGGTTTATGGAGTTGTGTATTAAATAATCAATATCGTACAATATTTCATGTCAGTATTTTAAATTCTGATGGAACAATTCTTTATTCAAATGAGAATAATCACGATAATGAGAATGGGAATGGGAATGGGAATGGAAATGGAAATGGGAATAGAAATTCATTATTACATAAATTATTTCAATTATTTGGTATAAATAATCAAACAAAATATTGGATATATGCTAGTATTATTATGATTATATTATTTATTATTTTAACAATTATTGGTATAGGAATATTTTGTTGCTATGAACCAAAATCATCATCATCATTATCAAGATCATCAAATGGTATTATAAATGAAATAAATAGAAAGAATAAATTAAAATCTATATGTAAATGTCCATGGAAATGGATCCATGCTAGACATTATCGTCTTCGTCATTCTCGTCGTCATCGTTGTCATAGTAACAATAATAATAATAATAGTAATAAAAAGACCAAAGTTAATAAAGATGATTCAATCAGTAGTTTATTAGTAACAACTCATGATGAACAAAAAATTAATGATAATAATGATATAAAATTAATAAATAATCATATGAAAGAGGATACAGTTTGTGTAAATTTCAATTTAAATACAATTGTCACTACCACCAGCACCACCAACACCACCACCACCTCAACAACAACAACAACAACAACAACAGTGATAACAACGAATACTATTTCTCATTCAAATATTGATATAAATCATACAGAGAATAATGATAATATATTATTAAGAAGAAATATAGATGAAAATCGTTTATTAAATATATTTTGTTGTCCTACAAATACAACACGTGATGTTCAATTAGTTACTATACCTATAACTAGTTCATCATCTTTATCATTATCAACACATTTAGGTGAATCATTTATACAAGGAACAATGGTTACTGATGAAAAACATGTTCTAGTATCATGTGATAGTCCAGAACCAAAATTATTAATTACTACAAATGAAATAATACCTTCTTCAAATATTTCTTCATTAGATTATTCCAATTGCTTACAACAACAACAACAACAACAACAACAATCATTAAATGTTACATCTCAACAAAATTATACTGAATGGAATGGGAATGGTTGTTATTCATCATCATCACCATCATTATTATCATCATCACAATTTCCTGGAATTTATACATCGAATCAAACAATAATTGATACATCAAAACCATGTCCTGTACATGGAATGATGAATTTGAAACAGATAGAAATGAATTATAATATACCTTCTAATACTACTATAGATAATAATCATCTAAATAGAAAACAATTATCAAATTATAAAAAAGTCAATTCAATTTATTCAGATCATTCTAATCATTCAACTATATTGACTGATACACATTTATCAAATGGTGTATATATAGATTCTCATAATCAAAATAATGATCATTATAACAATGAAATAGAACTGATACAAAATTATTCAAATCCTTTATTACAAAAAGATCATTTCAATAAAACTAATATAAAATGGTCTATAGATTCACAATCTCAAGGAACTTGTCCATTACATGGAAATCAAACATTCTTACAAACAAATAATCAATTAAACTATAATGATCAAGAAGATATTACATTACAAAATGATAAACATTTAAATAAATCAATTATTCATGAACAATCTAATTATCTTATAGATCCTTGTTACCATGGTACACTAGATAATCAAGACGTATCAATGTGTTCATCAAATAAACAAACTAATATACAATTAAATAATCTTCATAAACATCATTATAATTTATCATTAAATTCTATTCAATCAAAACAAATGATTTATACATTAAATAATGAAATAGAATCTTATGATGAAAGTTCATTTTCTGAAAATTTATTACATAATAATTGTATTTCTCATTCATCTACATCGTCAATTTCATCTTCAATCAATTCAACTTCATCATTTAATCAACATTTTAAATATATTTATTCATTAAATCATACAGGATTAAATTCAATTTGTTCATCTTTATCAAATCAAATCAATTTAGCAACAGCAGCTGTTTCGGCTGCTTCTGCTGCTTCTGCTTCTGGTTCAGCTTCTGCTTCAGCTAATGCTACTATTCATCTTGTACAACAACCATCTCCACCTTCATTAAAGTTTTGTCCTTCTTCAAAATTATTAAGAAATCGATCAAATAGTACAATGAATTATTCACATAATCGAATGAATTATGATATATTGAATAATTTTAAATGTCCTATACATTCCTTAACAATGAATCGTAGATCAATACCACATCAATTATTCTATGATGCTTATAATCATCGTGAAAATATGCGTCAATATAATTATGATACAACTACTGATAATAACATCAGTACTCTTCGAGTGACTACTTTACCAACACGATTCAGGAAAGTCAATCATAATATTATTATTAATAATAATAATAATAAACGTAATAGAAGTAGTAGTAGTAGTAATAGTAGTAGTAATAGTAGTAGTACTAGTAATAACAGTAGTACTACTAATGATAATAATAATAATAGTAGTATTATAAATCATATGGCTTCCATTAGAAAATTCTCTAGTCAACATAATGTACAATCAAATTATTCATCGACTATTCAAAGTTTAGATAAATTTTTTAATAAATCTTTACAAAAATCTATATTACGTCCCGGTTCTAAACATAAATTAGATACAGAAAGTGATTCAGATAGTAATCATAATCATAATCATAATAATAATAATAATACATCAGAAGAAAATAATTTTTAATTTTATTGATTTTTATCGATTAGTATACACAAACAAAAAATGTATTAGTATCCGGGGGGAGAAATTCCCTGTATATATATATACATATATATATATATGTAAATGTTTATGATGTAATGAGTAATCGTCTTTTTTTTCTAAATTTGCCGCCACATTTTAAATTTCATTGATTATCATATACATATTATGATATTTAAACAAGGAGGGGGGGATATTGATTTTTTTGTTTTTTGTCTTGTCAACATTAGATTAGATTAATTTTCATAATATTCTTTCTAAGTAATAATAATAATAATAATAATAATAATAATAATAATAATAATGATACTAATATATTGGACATATGAACTATCCATACTACTTTTACTGCAAATAAGTAAACAACGATTAATCAATCATTTATTTATTAAATAACTAATTATATAATTAGTAACTATGTATACACACACAAAAAAAAGTATTTTAATGAAATAATGTACATACATTTTGTTTTCTCTTTTATGTTTGATTAAAAATAATAATGAAAATATACTTTTTGGAGAATGTTTTTTTTTGTTTTCTTTGTTTCTTTGTTCTTCTCTCTGTTGATTTTGATTGAAATGATTATTCATTTTCAATTTGAAAAGGATAGAAGGTTTAATGATCTGTGTTAGTTGTGCAAATGATGATCTGTCAGTTGATCCAGCTATCTTTTGAAGAAGTTGATAGATGAACCTTTAATCACGTGTTGACTCTCAAATGCCCTGGTACGACCGAGAGTGCGGAGAGTCCGCTCTCTCACTCCAAATGCTCTCAAATGGCCACGAGTATATAGCCTCTACCACAAAAGTCCTACTCACTGCCTTCTCTTGGCGAACGTGTTGTTTACGAAAACGAGAGGACGAAAAGCGAATGTCCGGCACCGGCTTTAACCGGATCCCAAATCAATGGTGTACATGGGCTAGCTCCAGTATCCTGAAGGAACAAATGGAGTATGAACCAATCGTTGGTCACCGACTATCATGGGACTGCATCTCCTTACGATGCTCCACTGCTTTGTGGATCAGATCTTCATGTCGAAGGCTCGAGGTGTGGTCCCCTAAGAAAACCATCTGCTTCGGTTTTGGCACCCGGGCAGTATCACAGTCCTCACACATATCAAATAAGATCTGTGTGGCGCATATGTATTTGGTGCCTTCTTGTACCAAAATTTATGTGTTAAAATAAATAAATAATGACGTGTTGAGTTTATGAATTTCATTCGTTGATGATTCGATGGAAAAATTGATAGTCATAGTTGATAAGTAATTTGTTCTGCGCTTGTAAAGTATTTTCATGTATCCTCGTAAATTGTCTGTTTTGGATGACAAGAAAAATGAGGGCATATCAAGTGTAAATTTATCACTAAGTAATTTGAAATCTGCAATCAAGTCGCGTCTAGTTCTCCGATATGACAACGGGAATAGATATAGCTTGGCTAGTCGAGTATCACATGAGAGCTTCGCTATTCCGGCAATCAGCTTAGTTAATGTTCTTTCACTGTCTTTTTTTAAGCAGGGTCTAGCAGCTTGTATGCAGTACTCAAGTTCACGACGCACGAATATTGTATACCAAGACAAAAACTTTTTAGCGTCGACATGACTAAAGGCCCTAGGTATTAACCATAAAGTTTCAAAACTTTTGGTGGCTATTGCACGGCAGTGTGCAGTAATCTTTAGGTTTTGGCTAAAGATAACTGGTAAATCATTGTGTGTTTGGACAACAGGTAGTCCAGTGTCATTCATCATGTATGTATCTGTACTTTGATGACCAATATGCATCACAATTTATTTATTTTTATTTATTTATTTGAACACATAAATATTGGTACAGGGGGGCACCAAATATATATGCGCCACACAAAACAATGATAATTTGAAGAGAAGGAGAAAAGAGAAAAAAAAGTAATGAACGTGGGGAATTATAAAAAAAAGGAGAGAGGGAGAACAATGGTGGGGGAAACGGAAAGGTATAATCAGAAGAGATCTTTCAGTTAAGGAAAATACAACCACTTTTTATGAAGAAAGTAAAAGAAAGTTACAGCAGGATCGCCACTGGCTTCTATTCTTAGCCATATCTGATAACGTCTCTAGCCACTGCGTTACACCGCATCACAATACACTTGGAAGTATTAATTGGCAACTTTCAGGTTTGAGACCATTCAGATAATTTCTCCAGATCATTTTGAAGTTCGTATTGCTCTCCATATCATGACATCGTCAGCATATAGCAAAAGTGCTGACGATGATAATAAACAAAGAAGGTCATATACATACCAGAGGAATAACATTCGCCTTAAAACTATGCTCTAATGTACTTCATTAAGCTGAGTTTCTCAGCTAGACAACTTGATGTTCAACTGTACTCTTTGTTAAATTGAATAGATTTTGGTTTATCAATTTTTTCAGTTATCATTTAGGGAAAAGAAATTATCATAATTTAATTGTGGTAACAATTTGATGGGAGAAAACATTTTACTTTTTTTCTAATTTTCTAAATCAATATCAAGTTGATTGAGTTTGAAATGAAAGGAATTGTTAAGTATATAATTTAATAAGGTCAGTGATTGTTACTATAGAGGTTGTGGTAGTCTTAATAAAATTCAATAATCTCCACAATTATATTCTGCTTACCAGTGACTAACTTGTGAGGCAATGTCTAGAATTCTAGTTAGATGTCATGACCAGTGTAGTTAAACTATGTCAAATATGAACCAGTTACTTATGGAAGATAGTAAAAGCGGTTGCAAAATGTCATAGATTGATTGAAGGTAAAGACCGCTGCATGCCAGTTCAGTAATTGAAATGACAATTATCATTTAGATGAAAAAAAAAAGTTATTCAAAGTAGAAATGACCAGTATAAGAACAAAATGAAATGGAAGGAGAAAAATTATTCCCCAGGTGTTTTGACTTGATAGTATTGTGTTAAAAAAATATTAAACATTGATAGAGTTTTCATGATACTTACTTACATACGCCTGTTAGCTCTCGTCAAGGAGCATCGAATACTCACTAACAGTCTTTATCCAAGTCTGTCCAGAATAATCCTTTCTATGTGTTTACAGTGGCTATTCATCCTATTAATGTCTATTTACTATTCTCGACACTATGTGTTCTTTGACCTTTAATTTTTCCGTTACCCTTCATAATTCAAAGTTAGCGCTCACCTCGTGATGTAGTTTGATGATTTCCTCAATATGTGTCCTATCCACCTCCGTCATTTTTTCCTAATTTCATCTTCAGATAGAAGCTAATTTGTTCTTTCCCAAACTAGACGTTTGCCGATCGTATCCGACTAATGGATGTTGAGTATCTTGCGTAAACAACTATTTATAAATACTTTTACTTTTCTCATGATGGTTGTAATAGTTCTCCAAGTTTGAACTCCGTATAATAGAACTGTTTTGATGTCGGTATTGATGACTGTGACATTGATATTGATTGATAGACAGTTGTTTTGAATTGCATAAGTTCTTAAACTGTAAGAACACCCTCCTTGCTTTACCAATCCTCACCTTTACATCTGTATCGTATCCTCTTTATTCATCGATGATGCTACCCGTGTACGTGAAGAATTCCACATCTTCCAGAGTGAAGTCCTCCTGTAGCTCTTCTAGAGTTCCTGCTTATCCCGAAACCGGATAATGGATTATGGTTGGGTATAAGTTTTGCAACCCCTAGAGACCTAAAACGCTAACCAGAAAAAATAATGCAACCATTCAATGATCCCTTGTTTTTCAGAAAAAAACTCAATCATATTTACTTACGCCTGTTACTCCTCGAGAAGGAGCATAGGTCGCTCATCAGCATTCTCCATCCAACTCTGTCATGGGCAATCCTTTCCAGTTCTTATTCATCCTTTTCATATCCGCTTCTATTTCCTGACGTAATGTGTTCTTTGACCTTCCGCTTTACGGCTTCCATTGACGATTCCAAGTGAGGGCTTGCCTCATGATGTAGTTTGGTGATTTCCTCAATATGTGTCCCATCCATCCTTCAGATAGAATCTAATTTGTTCTTTCCCACAGAAAGCTGTTGTTGGTGGTATCCGACTAATGGATGTTGAGTATCTTGTGTAGACAGCTATTGATAAATACTTGCAGCTTTTTGATGATAATTGTTGTAGTTCTCCATGTTTCAGCTCCGTACAGTAGAACTGCCTTGACGTTCGTATTGAAGATTGTGACTATCATGATTGAGATCATGAATCGACTGATGTTAGACCACCGTTGGAAACCTGGAAGCACTGGACGGCCGTTTCGTCCTAGTATGGGACTCCTCAGCAGTGCGCATCCACGATCCCGCTCGTGGGATTCGAACCCAGGGCCTTCAGTCTCGCGCGCGAACGCTTAACCTACTCGACCACTGAGCCAGCATCCAATGGTGTTAGTGTCTAACATCAACCAATCCACGAAATTGCGCGACCATCTTCCATTGTACTGAGGTAGATACCTGTCTCTACCCGACACGGATTAGCTCCACTGGTCACGGCTTCTCACTAGAACTCCGAGAATTCCCTCACGAAGCTAGTCACTAGTGAGCACATGTTAATTATCAGTATTGGGGTTGTGGAGATTATTAAGCTTTTGATGGTACTAACATATTTGTTGAAAGTGGTTTTGAGTTCCGTATGTTCGTCAATTGAAGAAATGTGGCTCTTGCGTCACCAATCCTCGCCTTGACGTCTGCATCTGAACCTCCTTGTTCATCGATAATGCTTCCCAGGTATGTGAAGTATTCTACATCTTCCAAAGTGATTGGATTGCTGTTCTTCGTGTTGTATTTGAGGATCTTGGTTTTTCCCTTGTATATGTTGAGGCCTACTAATACAAAGACTGCTGCTACACTGACTGTCTTTATCTCCATTTATTCGTGTGTATGCGATAGGAGGACTAGGTTATCTAATCATATTTACCCTATTTAAATTATTAATCAATTTGTTTTATATAATTCATTTCTTTTATTTATTTATTAAAACAATATAGATAATTTACCTTTATAGTTTTGTTAACTTCCTTACCATTAACTGACCTACCTCCCTCCTATTTTTTTTTTTGTATAATTTTATGTTTAATGATTATGATTAAATAAATATCCTAAGGCTATATAACATATGGTGTTTAGTAGTCATAGTGATTAATTTTTTTTTGTTGTTGTTGAAAAATCAATAAATTAGAAAAACAAAAGGGGAACGATCATAGAAATATTGGAATT